TTTTGATTCAGATGGGTTCAACCCAAATCTGGTCCATTGGCACCCCTACCTATCAGTGAGGAATCAGGATATATTATCCACACCCCACCAGCAAGACATTACAATCATACATCGGGAACATCTCCCTATGTTCAACATGTGCTTAGAGCGTAGTGACACTTAGTCCTGAACTTTATTTGGAACAGACTCCTTGAATTTTCATATTCTAACACTTTGCTCCTGCCATTAACATTTTAACAGTTAACTTCATGAAATATTCTGTTGAATATTGCTAAAATTCCAAATTACCCTTATGTTAATTTGAGACCATTTTGATTTCTAAAATTAATTTTTTTCTTAAATCTTGACTCTCATGTGTATCTCTCAATAGCTTCATCTCGAGAACACCCTACGAATGATTTATGCTTTAGAATGCATATTTGTATTGTTTTGATATTTGTTGCTGTTAGTAGGGTGTCAATTGGACTAGATTTGATCCTCGAATATGAATCTATTACATGGACCAGATCCAGTCCAATCTGATGAATTCTTTGAACCATTTTGGACCAGTCCAATTCAACGTCTGGACTGTTCAATCTGTTCAAATTGGTTTTAATTTAGATTTGTTTCAATACAAACCTCATCCATTGACAGTTATATATTGATTCAATTGGACCCAATCCAATATAAATCTATTATGAATGGACCAGGTCCAATCCAATCCAATAAATACTATGGACCTTTAAGTCTAGACTGGTTCAATTCAATATATCTTATTATCCATCCAACCCATCCAAATAGATTTTGACTTATATGGAGTCCAAACCAAAACCAGTCCATTGGCACCCCTAGCTGTCAGTCCATAAAATTTCAAATAGAGAACTTAATAATTTTATGTTTACCATTAACCCTATTAGAAAGACAGGGTACAAAGCAATGTTTTAAAAACCAACCCGGAGGCCGAACCATTTTTGCCTCTGGGTCACAAGTCACCAGTTCTATTGGCCAGGTCAAATGGTTCAGACCACGCCACATCAGCGCATATATGTATTAACATATATGTGTATATATGTATACATACATACATACATACATACATACATACATATATGTATATATGTGTGTGTATATATATATATGTGTGTGTGTGTGTGTGTGTATGAATATATATTTTAGCAATAAATAATGAATAAATGTGTTTTAGATATGTTATATGTATTATTTTATATATAATTTATGTTTTTAATTCAGTTTTTAATTTTTTTATTTATAAAAATATTAAAAATTTCAATTTGAGGCCAAAAAAGGGGTTTTTTTTTGCAAAAATAGCGGGACATGGTGCCTACGGCCCTTTGGATGCATAGATCTCAAAAAGTTACCTAAAATAAAAAAAAAAAAAAAGAAAAAGAAAAATCACCCCAATTGAACATTGAAGTGCAAAGTTATCTCCTCTAAAGTTTTCATGCATTGAATGTGCAACCTACGACCCGATCACTAGATCAAACCAGCCGGATCAAATGGTTTTTGACAGTCTAATGAGTCTTGACTGAACCGAACCCAAAATCCTGATCAAGTGACGGTTCAAACGATATGACCGGCTGTGTCCACGGCGGAATGAAAATGTTGGTACAAGTGTTGGAATGGAAAGAGTTACGGATCTCAGCCCTGAAGTTTTCTTTGTCTTAAAAGATATTTTAGATTTGGCAGTCTCCTTGATGTTTTCTTTTGTCAATACTAACAGGAAAATCAATGGGGTTGCCCATTCTTTAGCAATACACGTTCCAACACCCTACTAACATCACACATCTCATCATGAGACTGGAACCCACCATGTATGAGATGTGTGATGTCGGATTGTGTTGTTAGCTAGAGATCTTGGCTTCTTTTTGTTCAATTGCCCCAACTCCTTCGCTATAGTTGATTTTGTTCATTGAGGTTGCATCTTTACATTGATTCCTTTAATATAAGGGAATTGAAACAGACTAATGCCTCCCCTGAGGTTTAGACCTCCCCCCACTAAAATTGTTACTATAGTGTGTAAACTTTGCTAGATCCTCACTGAGAATGTTCGAGATTTACGGCGAAAAAAGGAAATTTATTGGATTATTTTGTTTTGTTTTAAATTATAAAAATTAAGAGACGTTTGGCAAGTCGGACCCATAAGACCACAAGAGCTTTCATAAGTAGATTTACAAAGTCTGAAGATCGTTTGGTTGTAATAATTGTAACAGATATTATAGAAAGCTAGGAAGACATGAAGATGGTTTGGCAAAGTCCATAACAGTGATGAATAAAAATGTGCTTAATGCACGTGAAATATCAAGTGTGAGACCCAATAATACATTCAAATATGTAAATATTACTTTTGGGTTCCACTTGTACAATTATTTATACAAAATATTAAAATGAACCCATTAATGCATTCACCATAACAAAAAATAAATAAAAAAAAAAAAATCAATGTAGGCCCCACTCTCATCTTTGGCTTACACATACATCACCTGCTTGACCCCACTATACAAAATATTGAAGTGGGACCCACTCATGCATTCACCTATACAAATAAAATAATGCGGAACCCACTCTCATTTTGGGCCAGCACATATATTATCTATTGGCCCCATGGCTGTTATAGTGTTCAATATCCTGTTTAGTATAAAATTGTAAATGGATTTCTTTCAACCATGGATGTTACAGTGTTCAATATCCTCTTTAGAATGAAATAATTCAAAGAAGAACCATCAGATGTTCCAAGATAATTTATGATAGCAATTCTAGCACATAACAAAAAAATTAGAGAATTAATAGTTGTGTGTAACAGAAATAATTTTCCAATAAATAGCTAATCTTCATCAACGGAAAAGAGGAATAAGCATTATAATTTGACAATTGGGAAAAGTTAGAAATGAATTGATAATCAATTGTAGCAGAAATAACTCTTCAATAAATAGTAATATAGGATTTGAGGCAATTTTGTGATATGCCCACAAGGAGGTTCTTTCTTAGCTCTAGACTAGCTAGAACTAGCAAATCAGTGAAAGAATCTACATTGCATTGAGTTTCAAAAAAAAAAAAAAAAACCATCGTCTCGCTTTCACAGTAATAGTAATTAATATGATATCATAAGTATTTTTAATAATTCTCCTCTCTCTCTGTTCTCATTGTTGGTTCACGTTAGCAAACAACCCTTTGATTTAATCTTGGGAGGGAGCTTGACCATAGAAGGGAAAATTCAATTTCAAGACATTGAAACAATTTAATAAACAGGGGAAGTAAACAATAGAAACTTCAATTAAAACAAAGAAAGCATATGGGTTTTAATAAATTGAATGGAAATTCTTCAAATTTAAGAGCTCTTAATTCTAAGAACTCGAGCTAGTCGTCTCTGATCTCTCAACTCATCCTCCAAAAAAACAGCAATTTTGATGAAACAAGCCTCCCCGCAATTGAATTCATATTGGTATCAGCAGACCATCCAAAGAAAAGAAAGCCCAGAAGGAAACCCACAAAAAATAGCCCAGATTGGAAGGCCAAAGAACCTAGCATGAAGGGAACGAGAAGCAAAAGCGAAGGTAAGCAAATTGTAGGTAGACCAGCAAAAAGTTGATCCAATCTGCGAATCCAATTCAACTCAACCTGAAAAAATAGGGTTAGGGTCTCATATTTAGCTACCTGAATGTGAGAATGATCCGACCCGACCCGACCCGAAAAAAACTAAGGTTGGGTCGGGTCGGGACATGGGTCAACCCGCTGATCCGATTGTCAAGTCTAAGTGAGACTATTTATGCATTGTTAGAAGTTTCCACTTTTTAATTTTTTCTATTTAGTATTTACTCTTTATTGTTTAGTCTTTAAATTGTTAAATGTTCAAATTCTTTTTATTTTATATTTGGAATTTTAAGACTAATTCTTTTAATTTTGGCATTTTCATGTAGTTTTTCTTTATTTCTTTTAAATTTCAGTTATTTTTTAGGATGATCCAAATTGACCCATGGGCTAGCATTTGATAACCCGACCCGAATCAACCCAAAGTGTCTTGACCCAACCCGAACCCGACCCACCCAACCCAATTACCAGGTCTGTAGGAGTACGATACACCTGGTTAAAGGTGTTCTTAAGAGAATTCACATCTACATCTCACAAACGTCCCATAGTATATCCCAACCTTGTATTGAGGGAACATTTCCCAATGACAAGTATAGAAGATGTTCCTAATACGCACACGCTGAGATGTGTATGTAGGGCGTTTGTGGGGCACGCTCTTTGGGATACAGATGTGAACTCTTTTTAAGAATTTATAATATAAAAATATTTATAAAATAAAAATTTGAAGAGAAAAACAAAAAAATATACCCAAAGGGGGAGATCCTTTGAACCATGGTTAGATGTATTGAGATCTTGACCCAGACCAATTGCTAATGGGAGATCGGGAGAGAAGTTTTTGTCCAGTAACATCACCCAAGAGGGGAGATCCTAATCTATTTCAAAAAGAGAGGGGAAGTTTTATAGACTTTATTTAGTACAAAAGTTCAGGGAGGTTTAACTCTTTTGCCCTTAATTTAATGATTAAAAAAATAACTCTTTTGGTTATTGGATTTAATCCCAAATCTCCTATAACCAAAACAACCAATGGGACAGGATGATGCCCATCCTATGTGCTGTGGGTGGCTGTAGGGTGCACTTTGTGGGGGAATCCATTATATTGGAGATCGGATCTGCTTCTCATATAGGGCGCCTCACACGCACATCCCCTTATTTTTCACAGGACGGGAGATGTTTCCAATGCAGGGTAGATGTGCATGTGAGGCGCGCGTACAAGTGTGAGGAGCAGATCCCGTTTCAGTCCATTGGGATTTGCCAACTGGCATCTATAGATGATGGTGTTGAGTTTTCATCAATTTAAGCTAACAGCACGTGGAAGAGCGTGTAATAATTGTTAAGGGAAAGGTCCAATCTTATCCTCATCTACAATAATGGATTACCAACAAAGGATAGGGCGTAGGGCTGTCATCTTCAATAAATTTTGAAGTGAGAGGATTGAGGACAACACCATTAGAGCAAGCTTATAAATTGAAGTCCTTATTTCTTGTTAACCCACCATCGCCACTGCCCACCGGAGAAGAAGATCTAGAAGAGAGCACAAGCTTTGTTGGAGAATTGTGATTGGCCACTGGCCAGGCCTCACAAGGAAGAGAAGAGAAGGGGGGGAAATGCGTGGGCAAGTAACGAATGAATTAGATGTGGACGTGCCCGTCGACGATATCTGGGCGGTGTACGGCACCCCTGTGCTACCCACCCACATCGTCCAGCTTCAGCCCGATGTCTTTCAGAAGGTCGACTTTATCCATGGCAATGGAGGCGTTGGCACCATTCTATACGTCCAACTTGTCCCAGGTACTGTTACTTCCTTTTCCCTCCATCTGGGTTTATCGTTTCACCGGAATATCAACTTGAGCTTTGATGGATTTCATAAAACCATAGCTGAGGAGCAATAATTTTCAAGTTAATTACAAGATCATGATTCAGATTTCAACCTTGACCCCTTACATACATACAGTTGCGAGCTAGTATTGGACTGGGTTTGGTCCAATCCGATCCGATCCAATGTGAGTCCATTTTCGTCCAAAATATTCAACCTGTCCAATTCAATGCCTGTGTCGATTTAGATTGGGTAATTTCAAATCAAACCCGGGTTCATTGATTCCTATATTCTTATCTTCTATTTATGGATAAGATATTGGCTCAATCCAATCCAATCTAATATAAATTCAATTTGGATGGAATGGATTCGGTCCAATCCATCCAAATTGATGTTGGATTGAACAGGTCCAATCCATCTATCGAGATGGTCACTTGCACCCTGTTCCTGCTCTGCCTAATCCCTAATTTCCCCTCTAATGTATAGTATGTAATACCAAAAATAAAACAAGTAACTAGCTACAGCTAATGGTGGTTTCACATTGGGTAGGGCTGCAACCTGGTCGAATTCAACCAGTATAAAAACCCAACCTTGATACTTCCCAGGGTCCATTTGGTTTGGAATCTGAATCACAATCAAAATCAGGTGAAATCGGAATTGGAATGACTTATTCCTACCATCTGTTTGCTTCAGACATAATCAGCTGGAATGGATTCTCGATTTCTCATTCCCAAGGGAGAGGGTTGGAATGGTCATACCCTCAAATGTTGAGGAATGGAGGAATGCCATTTCATCGAAAATGGAATTCTATTTCTACCCAACCAGACGGTTGAAATTAAGATTCCAGATGAACGCCCTCATTTGCTTTTTCATTTGTTAATCATTTCCTGATGGGTGGGTGGTTTAGGGGCACCGGAACCACGTACTTGGAAGGAGAAATTCATTAAGATAGACGACGAGGAGCGCTTAAAAGTGATACGAATGATCGAAGGAGGATACCTAGATCTTGGATTTACCTTGTTTGAGTACAACACACAAATTATAGAGAAAGACGCTGAATCGTGCACAATCAGATCGACCACAGTTTTTGAAGTTGATGAGAAATTTGAGGCCAATGCGGCTCTGATTAATGCTACTTCTGCATATGGATTGGCTAAGGCAGTTGCAAACTATGTCATTCAGAAGAAAGCTAAAGCTTGTGACGTCTAACTCTCCTTGTTTCCTTGTCTGAGCATAAAGTCGTTGGGTTCTTGCAAATATATTGAATAAAATGATGTATACTCTGTGGTTAGATCATGGGTGTTTGAAAATAGCTAAAATCTATGCTGCAGAAAGAGGTGATACTGGAGGAGCCATGAATTCTGATAAATACCATGATTGCTCACCGTTTTTTATAAGTGACTTCCAATATATATTGATATAGTAGTTCGTAGCATGGTTTTCAAAACCGGCCCGGATTGGATGGTCGGACCGGAAAAATTGGGAATCGGTTCCGGTTTTTTCTAAAACCGGATTTTTGTTAAAAAAGCGTTAATTTAGTCAGTAAGCCATTGATTCGGGCGGTTGAATTGTTTGAACCGTTCAACGGTTTTGACCGTTTTTTTATTTTTATTTTTTTTGTTAGAACAGGTCATCCATTTGATTCAAACGATTGAACCACCGTTCAACCCGGAAACCAGACCCCTAACCAGTTCGTTGTCCAAATCGGTTTTAAAAACCTTGGTTAGTAGAAAGATTTCTTAATGGGCTTAAGCTAAGTCAAATTTCTCAATTTCAGAATATATATGGAATCTATTCAGTGCCTATTGGAGGAATCTTCCTCCCCACCTTGGTCCATATACTCTTATCATTACTATACCACTTTCGTGGCTTAGAATTACATTCATTGGAAGCACTGCACATCACTTGGATTTTCAAAACTAGTTGATTGAGTTTGAGGTACAAGCTCAATCAGGTAACTCACCAATTTCTCAATGCAAATAGGGAAACTGTGATTAGGGTCTATCTTTAGAGATTTGACTTTGGGCATTTCTATTGGAACTCAAGTAGAAACCCAGAGTGCAATTCAGGTAACTCACCAAGTTCCGATTGCAATGCTAAACTCCGAACTTGGTTGGAGGAGGGATCTCAATGTACTTAGGCTTACTAGACCAGCTTCAGCGAAGGGCGTTAGTTAAAAACCCAACTCAGCAAGTCTGATGAGAAATGGAATCCCCATGTCCAAGCAGAATAACACCACACCTGCCATGTTCATTCGCAAGAGGGCTGCCTTACAAAATAACAAGGCAAAAATAAAAAGGGGATCTAAATTGGGGTGAGAGAGGCTCGAACTCTCGACCTCAGGATCACTCGAAGCTATGAGACCTACGCGCTAACCAACTGCGCCACCACCCCATTAATGCATCCTATCCAATATCTCGGTTTAATATCCTTTTCTCGGCCCGTGCTTCCAGTGTCCTCGCTCGTTATTGCAATTGTTTCAAAGTACTTGATATGGCGTCTCCAAAAACAGAAGCCTTATCCAGCTATTACAACCACAAATTATAAATTTCTAATCAAATTCTTAATTTTTTGTTACTTAATACTAGAAATTTTTCTTAAGAATAGAAAGCCTAGCTAGCTAGTCTCTTTCAAAATGAATTAATGTTAATGTCTGGGAGAACCTTCTTGAGGCCAGGAACAATTGCTGATAGAGCTATGATGAAGTGTTGACTGAGCTTCTCTCTTCACCCCCTCTCTACTATTACATGATCTTGGGCCGGCCTCGTCGTCGTCGGGTTCACCCTCTTAGTCCCATGCCAGGTTTTGGATACATAATTTTGATGATCAGAAACGTTGGAGGGGAAGAGCATGTTCTCTGGTGACACTGCCTCCCCCTTCAAGTTTACGTTACCAAGTGGATTCTCGTACGACTGATGAGCGTGAACACTCGACGAGTTTGGCTTGCCAAAAGAAAGAAAATTGGGGGAAGATGACGATTCAGGGGTCGAAGATTTGTGGTAGGGGTGGCCATTCTATTTGGTATGTTAAATATTGAGAGTCGAGTAATAGCCTCAGAGGAGAAAGAGAGTCGGAAATCTTCCCCAATTTCGGCTGCGACTTGTGGTGAACTGAACTCATCTAAAGAGTTCATCTACATTCATGCACGAAGCCAGGACCTTATAAGACAATGAACAATATCTCATTTTGAAAGGTAGTTTTGACATTTTCTACAGATAATTAGCGGCCCAACGACCAATTTTATACTTTTGAAAGTTTAGGTACTGCATTTGAAAGTTACGTTCAGGTACTAACTTGACACTATCCTCAAAGTTCAGGGTACTAAAGTATAATTTTCGCATTTTATTATTATTTATGGCTTCACAAATCAACACGTTCAATCCTTGAGTAATTGACTCAGAAACCAGGTGCCAAAGTAGTTCTGTTTCTAGGTGGCTTTTTAAAAACCTTGGCCACATGATCGATTAAAACAAGTGGAAAATAAAAGAGCATGAGTCCAAGGTCTTTAGTTTCAAAAATACTCCTAGTATTTTTTATATCAACCTTTTTGTAAATAAAACCCTTCCCCGAAACAATTAAAAAACCTTGGCCCATGCCCTCTCACGTTTTTCCACTTTTAAGGGGTCACATGACCATTTATTCCCAAAATGGAAATACAAATTGTTCTTAACAGCGATCAGGTAAAGTAATTCCAAATTATATGGGGTGTTTTAATAATATGCATACTAGATGGTACGCTTTAGTAAATATGTTAAAGTACAAAGGTGTTTAATTACATGACCCTTACAATTATTACAAGAGTGTTCTAATGCATGATCGTTTTTCTTTTCACTAGTAGGTGTGCATATGCATTTGAACGTGATAGTTTCAAATGACAATAATAATAAACAACATAATAGCAAAAAAAATAGTAACAATAATTTTAGTGTTATTATCAAAATCCATGTAATAAAGATAAATAATCCAAGCATGATGTGCATTGGTAAAACTGATTACCTATCTTTATTAAATTGTGGTTTCATCAATTTTTAGAACATTGATTTTTTATCAGTGTTTATATCTTATTATCAAATCAACTAATTGATTGGTTGACCCATTTGGATCCATGTATCATCAAATTAATTGCTTGTAAAATACTATTATCTTGGTCAACAACGTGATGACCTAATTACTTGAACCATTGATTGCTTGACCTAGTTAGTGGGGCCACAAAGTTAGACATTAATTATCTATTTTTTTCTTGATTTTTGTATTCCATTTTTATCATTAATAAAAAATAACTTTATTTATCATACTTATACCCTTAATATGATGAATGCATAATATTAGTTTTATGCCCATATTTTTCTACCTAGTTAATTTGTTTTTTTTTTGTAATTTATTATATTTCTATCTATTTTTAAATTTTTATTATTTAATTATGACATCATAGGATGATCTATTTGAACTAGATGGTCGAATTGTTTTCCCACCACTTGCATGAATAGAAAAACTAGTATACTTTTGTGTGAATTTTATTGTATTTCATTTTCATTATTAGTAAAAAAAAAATCTTAGTTTTCATACTTATTTTATTTGATATGAAGAATATATAGTATCAGATATGTGCTCAAATGTTTTCTACAAAAAAAATTATACTTTTTTTTGTATTTTTTGTGTTTTATCTTTTTAAATAGTTCTATTTTTATATTTCAATTTTTTTTACTTTTCTATCTTAAAATTTTTATTATTTAACTATGACATCATGGGTTGATCCATTTGACCCAAATGGTTGAACCATTTTACCTACCACATAGGTATGAAGATGATTGCATTTTTTTTGTTAATTTTAAATTTTGTATTGTGTTTTCATCATTAATAAGAAATTTTCTTATTTGTCATATTTATCTTTTTACTATGATGAAAATAATCTATACTATTAAAAGTGTGAATGAGAGTATGAAACTTTTATTTGACTAAAATACCCAATTTTTTTAATTTAGTCTTTCTCTAATTGTAAGGATGGAAATGTAATTTGAACAACCATTTTTCTCCTCATTAACATTTATTGAATCCTATTATTGACTAGAATACCTTTATTTTTTATTTTGGTGTGACATCACAAAATGTAATTTGAACTATTATATTTCTCCCCATTCAACTCCCTCTCATTATGTCTTATAGTGAGGGTATTAACTCCCATTCTTTCATTAAATCCTATATTAATTAACTATATTAAATAAAATAAGTTTAAGACCTCCCTCTACTAGGGAGTTAGTGACAAAGACCCCCTTGGACTTCCACTTTACAACAAATACCCCCTAGTTGTTAAGTCAAATCATGGAATACATTAAATTACCAAAATACCCATTTAAAATTTCCTTATTTTCTTTTCCTTGGCCTTCTCTCTCAAACCCTAATTGACCCCTTCATATTCTCCAAATGAAACTAGCTAAAATAACAACAATAATTGCACTAAAATTGAAAAACAAGTTTCTTTAAATTCTTGTTACATTTCACTAAGATGAATGTCTCTCATCATCTTAAAATATAAAAATTATCCACTCCTTTCTCCAATAAACCAATAAATATCAAATGAAACCTCTGCCTTTTTATCTAAATATTGAATCCAACCAGAAATCTACAAGGATCTTTAAGAGAACCGAGAAGACTTTAATATTATATTTAGAAAACTAACTAAATCATAAATCGTTCAAATAAATAAGAAAAATGTAGTTTCGGTTTGGGGATTTAAGAAAAATTTAAACAATTGAATGAGAATATCCTTTTGGATTTTTGGCTATGACAACTCCTAAATTTTGCAAAAAGGCTAATTTCGACCCTAAAGAATAAAAAGGGCCATTTTCGGTTCCATACTTTGATAAAAGGCCATCTATAAGCAAACCATATGACATTTGAAAAGGCATTGACAAATCCGTTAGACAACGTTATGTGGCACTGCTTATGTTTGAAAAAGCTACTTTTGACCCTAAAGTTTGGAAATGGGCTACTCTAATAAAGTTAATTAAGTAAATTACTTTGGGGTCTAATTAAATGTTCCTCAAGTATTTAATATTAAGTTAACTAAAAAATTATATTAATTAACATAAATAAGTAAATTAAATTAATTAAGGAAGTGAACTTAACTAATTAAATTTAATAACGAAAGCTAATTGATCTAAATAAATAAATTAAGCCAAATAAGCAAGGTTTTAAAAACCAACCGAAAATGAAATCACTTTGGTCACCGGTTTCTAGGTCAGCAAATCGATTGTTTGGGCTGAGTGGATCAATCCATGACATTTTGAAAAATAAAAAGTAAAATATAATTAAAGTAAAAATGAACCAAAAACCATTTATCGTCTCAAACAGTTTAGTGATTGGTCAACAATTTGTTACCCAGGTTAAAAATTTTGGG